TGTAATCCCAGCACTTTGGGAGGCTGAAGCAGGTGGATCACCTGAGGTCAGGATTTCAAGACCAGTCTGGCCAACATGGTGAAACCCCCACTCTACTAAAAACACAAAAATTAGCCAGGCATGGTGGCGCACACCTGTACTCCTAGTTACTCGGGAGGCTGAGACAGGAGAATCACTTGAACCTGGGAGGCAGAGGTTGCACCATTGCACTCCAGCCTCGGTGGCAGAGAGAGACTGTCTCAAACAACTGAAAATTTTATTTTTATTGCATTGAATGTATACGTTAATTTGGAAAGAATTTAACTTTTTTCTTGTTGATGGTGTTGATTTTCTGTATAATGAGCATATTGTTTTATCTCTTCCTTTCCAATTCTTGCAACTTGAAATGTCTTTTTCCGTCTTGTGCAGTTTGGCCAGCACCCCCGGGGTGATGCTCAACAGCAATAACGGCAGTAAAACGGAGGCTTCTAATTACCCCGAATATCGTTATCCCCTCTTTGCTATGCCAGGGATCCAGAAACATCTCCTATGAAGGGCCAGATAGCAAATATTTGAGGCTTACAAGGCCATACAGTCTTTATCATAACTACTCAACTCCACTCTTGCAGCACAGAAGCGGTCATAAATGACATGTAGAGAAACAAGCATGGCTGTGTTCCAATAAAACTTTATTTACAGGCTGGGCTCGGTGGCTCATGCCTGTAACCCAGCACTTTGGAGGCAAAGGCAGGCAGATCACTTGAGCACAGGAGTTCAAGACCAGCTTGAGCAACATGGTGAAACCGCGTCTCTACAAAAAATACAAAAATTAACAGGGTGTGGTGGCTTGCACCTGTGATCCCAGCTACCCGGGAGGCTGAAGCAGGAGAATCACTTGAACCCTGGAGGCGGAGGTTGCAGTGAGCCGAGATCTCACCTTTGCACTCCAGCCTGGGTGACAGATTGAGACTCCATCTCAAAAAAAAAGGCCAGGAGTTCAAGACCAGCCTGGTCAACATGGTGAAACCCCATCTCTACTAAAAAAAAAAAAAAAAAGAAGAAGAAGAAGGTGTAGTGGCACATGTCTGTAATCCCAGCTACTCAGGTGGCTGAGGCACGAGAACTGCTTGAACATGGGAAGTGGAAGTTATAGTGAGCTGTGATTGTGCCACTGCACTCCAGCCTGGGCAAGTTAGTTAGAAAAGATTGAGACTGTCTCAAGAAAGGAGGAAAGAGTAGAAAAAAGAAAGCTTTATTTACAGAAGCAGGTCAGGGCCAAAGTTTACTGACTTCTGCTCTACAATAAGAGAAGCCTGTGTTTTTAGCAAGAATGTGGTCTCATGGAATAGAGTTCATTTCTCAGCCCCATTTGCAGCTATCTGTGGCCCTGGGACGGGTTCTGATCAAAGAGATACAAAGTGAAGTGGTGGAAGTGTCCTCGTAGACAGAATGTGCCATTCTCCTTCTCTTTTCCCCTTTGTCTTGTCCGTAATGTGTCATGACAGGAGTGGGACAAACATCTTGGAACATGTGATGGAAGCCATAGGTTGAAACAGTGGAGCAACAAGATAGAAGCAGCCAGGGTCCTAGAAGATATCATCAGAAATCAGAGTTGAACTTTTGCTGAGTGTTTTTTCTGCGTTGTGTAATTGTTTTCTTTTGTACACTTTTAACCTATTGTTCTGCACTCTCTAAATCTATTGTATTAACAGATTTTTCTCATGTTAAACCATCATTGAATTGTTGGCATATATACTACTTGAACATGCTATCTTTTTTAATCCTGCATTTAGTTTGATAGGCTGCTATCTGATAGAAGAATTTTAGGCTGGGTGAGGTGACTCACACCTGTAATCCCAGTACTTTGGGAGCCCAGCGGGCAGATCACTTGAGGCCAGGAGTTCAAGACCAGCTTGGCCAATATGGCAAAACCCATCTCTACTAAAATATAAAAATTAGCCAGGCATGGTGGTGTGCACCTGTAATCCTAGCTAGTCAGGAGGCTGAGGCACAAGAATCGCTTGAACCTGGGAGGCAGAAGTTGCAGTGAGCTTAGATCATGCCACTGCTCTCTAACCTGGGCGACAGAGCAAGACTGTCTCAAGAAAAAAAAAAAAGAATTTTACATTCCTGGTCATTATAATGAAAAGTCTCCATTTGGAAATTCTTAAAGCTTGCTTAATGGCCCAGTATTTGCTCAATTTTTTGAGAATGTCTCAGTATACTTGAAAAGAACAGGTATTCCACTGGGTGTGGGGGCTTATGGCTGCTTGGGAGGCTAAACCAGGAGGATCATTTGAGCCAAAGAGTTGAGACCTGCCTGGGCAACATAGCAAGAACCCCAACTCAAAAAAAAAAAAAAGGATATTTTGTATTTAATGAGTATAGTGTACTTAATGTGTACATTACATCGTAATAATCTGCGATTCAAAATATCTGTATCCTTATTTTTTTGTCTGCTTATCAATTACTGAGAGAGCTTTTATAATCTATTTGAATGTAAACTTGTCTGTTTTCTTACACTAAAATTTATGTTTGACATATTTTGTGGCTATGTTATTCAGTGCATACATATTTAATACTGGTATATCTTCCTGTTGAATTGAACCTTTTATTATTAGAAAGTGATCCTCTTTAACTCTAGTAATACTTTTTGTTATAAGGTGTACTTTACATGACAGCCATTTAGTTGGAATTTGACCACTATGTCTTTCACCATTTTGCTTCCAGCCTCTGTTTCAGATGTGTCTCTTGGGCATATAGTTAGATTTTGTTTTTATTCTGCCTCGAGAGATTTTTTTTTTCTCTTTTAACAAGATAACTTGGTATTTTGCATTTAATAAATCAGCAACATATTTGGATTCATAACCAGCCTTTTATTTTGTGTTTCTTTCTTATCTACCTCTTTCTCGGGTGGGGAGGGAGTTCTCCTTCATTATCTTCCTTTAGTTTAATATTTTCTCTTCATTTTTCCTGCTTATAAGTTTGAAAGTTATAACCCCTGCTTCTCAGAGATTTGCCTAGAAATTACAATTATGGCAGGAAAAACACTGTCTTTGCTCCACTGTTTTAAATCCGGAAGTGTTATGTAATTACATCTCCTGTGTCTTTACTTACGTAATCTTCTCCTTTCTAAAGTTATGTATGTATCTCCTTTTTTTCTCCTTCATAGTTATCTGACTTTTTTAAGCATCAAATTTTACTTTAATTGATCATATCTACATTTTTATTTTCTACTTATTTCTGCTTATATTTTTATAAGTTATTTTATTCTACTTTAGGGGATTTATTTTATTATTCTGTTTCAAGTTTCTTGTGTTCAAACAGCATATTTCAAGTCAGCTTTCCTTGTTTTTTAATAAAAAGTGCTTATCTTCAGCCAGGCCTGGTGGCTCACAGTTGTAATCCCGGCACTTTGGGAGGCTGAGGTGGGTGGAGCACTTGAGGTCAGGAGTTTGAGAACAGCCTGGCCAACATGGTGAAAACCCCATCTCTTAAAAAAAAAAAAAAAAAAAAAGGTGCTTATCTTCAAGACCAGCCTGATCAAAATGGTGAAACCCCATCTCCACTAAAAATACAAAAAATTAGCCGGGTGTGATGGTAGGTGCCTGTAATCCCAGCTACTTGGGAGGTTGAGGCAGGAGGATCCCTTGAACCCAGGGGGTGGGCATTGTGGTAAGCCAAGGTTGTTGTGCCATTGTACTCCAGCCTGGGCAATAAGAGCAAAACTCCATCTCAAAAAAAAATAAAAATAAAAGTGCTTATCGTTACATACATTTTCTCCCAAGAACTACTTTGCCCATCCCACGGTTTCAGCATGTAGTACTCTTGTAGTTCATTTCTAAAACACTTGCCTTTTTCATTTTGATTTTCTTAAACTCAGAATTACGTAGAAAATACATGTTGATAGATGTCTTCTTGGCTGTACTTTCATTTCTAACTTTATTTTACTGTGGTCAGAGCATCACTACTTTTCAGAATTACCTGAGGTCTCATTTATGGGTGAATACTTCGGCAATTTCTGTCCACAGTTCTGTGTCTGAATCGGTTTGTCCTAACTCCCATCCTTGGTTGTGGATTCCATCCACTTTGGCACTTCTGTTCTGTGGTACTGTTTTTTCTGGTATGTTTGGTGATTCTTGGTTGTGTGTACATTTATCTGCTACCTGTTTATGAATGCTGCTTCTGTTTGCTGTAATGAATGCAAAGGACACCAGTGAGTTTCATTCAAAGTCGTTCAAGCACTCAACAAATTTGGGTGGTTCTGCCAACTGAAGTGGCTCACACCTATAATTCCAACACTTTGGGAACCCAAAGCAAGCAGATCACCCGAGAACAGCCTGGCCAACATGGTGAAACCCTGTCTCTACTAAAAATACAAAAATTAGCTGGGTGTGGTGTTGCACTCCCATAATCCCAGCCACTCGAGAGGCTGAGGAAGGAGAATTGCTTGAACCCAGGAGGTGGAGGTTGCAGTGAGTTGAGATCGCACCACCGCACTCCAGCCTGGGCAACAGAGCAAGACACTCTCTCTCTCTCTCTATATATATATATATGAGAGATATTTTATATATAGATACTTTATATATATATAGAGAGAGATATTTTATATATAGATACTTTATATATATATATAGAGAGAGATTTTATATATAGAGAGATTTTATATATATAGAGAGAGAGAGAGGAGAGAGAGAGAGAGAGAGAGAGAGAGAGAGAGAGAGAGAGAGAGAGAGAGAGAGGAGAGAGAGATTTTATATATAGAAAATCTTGGGTGGTTCTGTTCCTGAGGTTATTGCTCCAAGTAGAATGGCCTCCAGCAAGATGGCTCGTTTACAGCTGGGACACAGAAAACAGAATAATTTGCCCAAACTCACATAGCTGTAAATAACAAAGTCTGGCCATTCTGACCCAAAGCCCACACAGTTCTCATGATGCCACAGTGCCCTCCCCAGGCTTCCTAATGCCAACCAATCCACTCCTGCTTCCTAATCCCCAATAACCAGACAACTCACAGAATGTTTAGGTACATTTCTTTTTACTCTAAAAAAAAAAGTTGACAATGATAATCTGCAAACTGCAGAAGGCGCCCCAGGTTTCAAGCTCCCCACCGTCCAAACATCACCAACATTTCTCAGACACCATCCTTCCCCTTCCCTTGAAATCCCAGATGCAAAGCCCCAAGAAAGCACAAGAGGCCCCCAGATGGGCGGATCCCCAGTCCTGGACACCTTTGGCAGGTCTAGGCATTGAGGAAATAAATTAAGGAAGAGGAGGCTCCTGGCTGGGCTTGTCCAGCTCTGCCTCGCAGACCCAGCGGTAAGGCCTCTGGCACACGTCGTCGTTCCAGCGGCCGTCGGCGGCGGTGAAGTGGGCACAGTCCTCGCCTCCTCCGAGCCCATGGCCGTACCAGTCGTCCGGCTGGTCCGGCCTCCAGTTCCTGGGGACAGAGCCAGCTGTGGCCCCCAGGAGGTCGGACCCGCAGCCAGGTCGCTGCAGACCCCTCCACCCAGGGCCACAGACGGGAAGGCAGCTGGACCCAGACCCAGGGAGGACGCGCACTCACTTGAAGCCCGTCTCATAGTCCGTCCCGTCCACCCACTTCCAGGGCCCGTTTTGGTCATGGAGGCCCATCCAGGTGTTCACAGGGCCTGTGTGATGCTGGACAAATTTCTGAGGAGAGAGGAGGCAGGTGGTGATCTCTTCCTGAGGCCAGCCCACCTCCCAGGCCCTCGGGGCCCTCACCTGCTCCTCCCAGGACGTGACTACCACAAGGTGCGCGTTCTCCAGCCGGCAGTAGTTGTCGGCTTCGGCCCAGGCCTTCCCGGAGCGAGAGAACCAGTAGCAGCTGCGCTCGTGCTCCACCCAGTTGACCGGGCAGCAGGCACTTTCCGAGCCTGAGCGGGAGAAAGAAACGGGGCGCAGCGGCTGAGGCGCTGCCCAGGGGCGCGGGGGAGGCCGCGAGTGGGCCAGGCTGGCCTCCTCACCATTGCCCTGGAGCGCCAACACCTGACAGCTCAGGCTCCGCAGGTCAGACACGAACTGCTTCACGTGGAGCAGCAGGCTGGAGTGATCTGCGGACACGCGGAACGAGGGGAGGGGAACGAGGTCAGCCCTGCATCCTCCAGCTGGGACCAATCGCAGTGCCACTAACAGCAGTGGAGTTGGCCTGAGAGACCCCCACCCCCCACACACACACTCCCACACACACAATACACAACATACCATCATGCACAATACACATACACCCCCACACCCTAACCCACATAGACACACAACACACACACACAACATACCCTAACCCACATACACAGACAACATACACAACACAGACACAAAACACACCCTAACCCACAAATACACAACACACACTCAACACCCTCATACACACACTCATACACATAACACACTCTAACCCACATACACAACACACAAAACACCCTTACACACATGCACACACGCATCCTCACACACAACACACCCTCACACACATGCACACACGCACAACACACCCTAACCCACATACACAGACAACACAAAACACAGACACACAACATACCCTAACCCACATATACTCTCACACAACACATGCAACACACCATCACACATACAACACACTAACCCACATACAGAAAACACACAAAACACACACAACACACCCTCCCCCCACACTCACACACAACACACCCTAACACACACACACAACACACACATAACACACCCTCACACTCACACAACACACCCTAACCCACATACACAAACACACTACATACCCTAACTCACAAGCACAACACACACAAACACACCCTTACGCACAGATGCAACACACCCTCACACACACAACACACATAACACACTCACCCACACACAAAACACACACACACCCTCACACACACATACACAACACACCCTAATCCACATACACTCACACACGACACAAATTCACCCACCCTCAAACACAAACATACAACAAACCCTCACCCAACACACACACACCAAACGCTCACCCAAACACAACATAAACACACCCTCACCCACACATACACACCACACTGTCACCCACATACAACACACCCATACATACACACACAACACGCCCCTACCCACTACACACACTACACACACAACACACCGCCACACATACACACATACTCCTTCACACTTACATGCACACACAGCACATTCACACACAACACACATATACTTACACATACATGCAACACACACATTCACACATACACACTAACACATACACACATTCTCACACATACACACACAGACTCACACTCACATACAGCCATCCACACTTCCTCTCTGACCTTCACTCAAGTCCTTCTGCTGTTTCTCCAGCTGGGATTCCAGGGACTTCATCTTTCTCCCCACATTGCCTCCTGGGGGAAAGACTTGCTCAGCGCCCCGACAGCCCCCAGCCAGGCCCCAGCGCCAGCTCCAGCCTCCCCAGCCCGGCCCCAGCCCCAGCTTCCGCCCCAGCCCCAGCCGGGCCCCAGTCCCAGACCCAGACCCAGACTCAGCCTGGCCCCAGCGCCCTCACCCTGGGTGCTCAGACCCTTGACCTGGGCCTCAGTGATCGCTGTGAAGTTGCTGAAAGTCTCTCTCAGGGCCCGCAACTCCTCCTGCAGCTGGGAGTCTGGCCAGGAGAGGGTGCAGAGAGAACAAAATGGGAGGACTATGTCCACCACCCCGGCACCCACCACTCCCCTGCCACGGTCCCCCGTCAACACCCCCCAGTATAGCCACCTTCCCTGTCCACCCCGAGGGCACCCACTTTGGGATCCGATCACACAGACAACCACCAGCAGCAGGAGGCTGAGGCCCAGGGAGAGCAGGAGGAGGCGAGGTCCGGAGCAGAGACGCCGCAGGAGGGGCTGGGGAGGAGGCGGCCCTGCAGGACGAGGGGGTGTCAGGGGCGCGGGGACACAGGGGAGCCTGGCACAGCTCCGGGGTCCTAAAAGGAGAGCGAGCTAAAGCGCCCCTAGTAGACTAGGAGGAACTATGTACACGAGGAAATGAGGGTAGTGGGCGACCCTTCCAGGCCAGAGGCGACTGGATATCCGGGAGGAAAGAGGGCTAGGGACGCGGGTGAAGCGCTGAGCCGCCCATCCCACCGAGGCCATGATCTTTTGCTGACACCTAATGGCAGGACTACGTCACTGCAGCCAACCCCAGAGCCTCAGTCCAACCACTCCTCCCTCGCCTTGAAACGCAACTGAGTGGCCCGCGCCAGGGGAGTCGCTGCTTCCACTGAAAGGAGGAAGGTTTATTTCTCTGTCATGAATTCCACTCGTCTTTGGCTGCGTGCAGGGGGAGAAGGTGCAGCAGCTTTCAGGCCCTCAGATTGCTTCCACCCAGCAGGGGGAAGAGACACGCTAGCCCTGTCCTCTGAGGGTTGGAGAGTGGAGGCCTCCCTGCCCGCTCTCCTCCCCCGTTGACCCTCCTTCCGTCAAAGTGCGCTACACCCCATCCCCCAATAACTTCATCCTTGCTCGGCCTAAACAACATTCCTTGCTGGGAGGACAAAGAAATAAGTCAAGGGGGATTTCTTTTTGAAGCAAGAGGGTCTCGTTCTCCCTCAGGTCAGAGACCCCTCATCCCCCCTCGGAGAATACTCAGACTCTTCGCAGAAATCTTCCCCCCTTCACCAAACTGATCACTGATACACACACACACACCAGGGCTCCCTGGGTGGTGTTGGAAGGGGAAAGGAAGAGGGAACCTGATTTTGTCATAGGAAGCAAATAGTGACCTCATCTCTCCAGCTTCCAGCTGTTCCCACACCCCTCGAGGGATTCACCCTCAAGGGCCAGGAGGCACAAGAAAGCTTTGGGCACCTGTCCCCAAGAAAGGGACTCCAACCCCACACCCTGCACCTCTCCTGAGAGGGGTGACTCGAACCCCTTTCCCAGTGTTGGGAGAGGGAGACAGACCCAGAGAGAGAGCCATGCTCCCTCCTGGCAAGAGTAGGAGCTGTGGCTGAGGGGCCAGAGCTGCCAAATTCTCACCTTGCAGAGGCAGGAAAGGTCGCCCTCACCTTTTCTGAGCTGATGATGGTCATTCTCCTCATTATCCAGATGCTGAAGGTCTTGATACTCCTTGGTCATGATAGGGCTGGCGCTGGACCTGGGGCTGAGTCAAGGCTGGGGCTGGGGTTGATGTGGGGGCTGACTGGGACTAGAACTGGAATGTGGGGTCCATCTCTTTACTCCCATCTGATTGACAGCTCCATGGAGACCTTTCTCCTTTCTTTCTTTTCTTTCTTTTTTTTTTTTTAGAGACAGTCTTGCTCTGTGGCCCAGGTGGGTGTACAGTGGCGAGATCTCGGCTCACTGCAACCTCTGCCTCCTGGGTTCAAGCAATTCTCCTGCCTCAGCCTCCGGAGTAGCTGAGACTACAGATGCATGCTACCACACCCGGCTAATTTTTTGTATTTTAGTAGAAATGGGGTTTCACCATGTTACCCAGGCTGGTCTCAAACTCCTGAGCTCAGGTAATCCATCCACCTCAGCCTCCCAAGGTGCTGGAATTATAGACATGAGCCACTGCACCCAGCTAAGACTCTTCTTTCTTCCACCCCCTCCCAGGCCTGCCATCCAGAATCCATCCTCTGATGTTTTCCAACCAGAATCCCCCAACACACCCTGGGTTCCCTCCACACCGCTGCACCCGCAGCCAGCCTCCCGCTGCCTCCCTTCCCATTTTACTTGCTCAGGGTCTCAAGGTCTGACTCCCAGGTTCTTCAGTACTGTACAGATGCCGGGCTAAGAAGGGGGCTGAAGCTTGGAGAATGGGGGTGGGCGGACAGCCGTGGACAATGGGAGAGGAGTGAGCAGGGTCCATAGGAGGGCCCTGGGCCCCCGTATCTCTGTGTCTGAGTATCTGTATGTCCAAGCACGTCAAACCTGGCATCTCCAGTGCCCAGGACTTTGGACAGTAAACAGAGGTGGAAATGGACTGGAACTTAGGGGAATGTGGGGGTGGGAGTGGGGGATGGGTTGCCTCTGCTCTCCTCCCCAGGGAGGGGGAGAATCGTGGTCTCCCTCACATGCACCAGTCACCTCACTCTTCCGTGCACCATTTGGGAAGGGTGCCAGGCGAGGAGAGGCTGGGGTGGGATTGGCCATATTCCCCCACCCTCCCTGTTTCACTTCCTTCCTCTACATTTCTCAGAATTATTGGTGTCTCCAGATATCCTTGAACAGGGTCAGAGGGACGGGTTCTCTGCTCTTGCCCAATCCAAGCCTGTGACCCTGCGCCTGAGCCGCAGGCCTAGTTTCCTGTGGGGCTGACCCAGGGTCCCCAGCTCTGGCCTGACTTGCTTCCCTCTCCTGCCTCTCCCAGGGAGTAAAGTCCTCCAAGCAGCATTAGGGGTGGCTCCAGGAGAGGCAGGAGAGCCTCCACTGCGACAGGTGCCATCGAACCTCCACTCACTGCTACTGTGGGCCCCGGGGCATTGCATTCAGGAACTTCTCTCATGATCCCCAGAGCACGTCCCATTTCACAGATGAGAAAACTAAGGCCCCAGAAGGTAAGAGCTTGTCCAGGGTTGTGCTGCAAGGAAGCAGCAAAGGGTGGACTAGAACTTGGGCAGCCTGACTCCAGGCACTGTGTTTGGGCCCCAGAACCATATCCAGAGCCAGGATCTTATCCTATTGACACAGCTGGGCCCCAGTGTCCCAGAGATGCTAAACCATGGCCCCTCACAGATCCTCAGGGCTTCAGAGAGGGCCATGTAAACTTGAATTATGCTCACTTGAAATCAGGCAATACTAAAGATAAGTCTCAGCTGGGCGCAGTGGCTCATACCTGTAATCCCAGCACTGTGAGAAGCCAAGGTTAAGAGCTCGAGATCAGCCTGGCCAACATGGTGAAACGCTGTCTCTACTAAAAATACAAAAATTAGTGGGGCATGGTGCTGTATGCCTGTAATCCCAAGTCTTTGGGAGGTTGAGGCAGGAGAATTGCTTGAACCTGGGAGACAGAGGTTACAGTGAGCCGAGACTGTGCCATTGCACTCCAGTGTGGGTGACAAGAGTGAAACTCTGTCTCAAAATAATAAAAATAATAACAATAATAATGAAAAGTCTCACCTTAGGTCCAAATGTGAAGTCATGTAAATCCTACTTTGCAGTCATTCCAGTGAGAAAACTAGGCTTGAATTTTGAGAGTTTTCAATTACGTGAGATATTCAGGAGCGTATCCCTTACATAAAATGTGACAACTCTGTATGTGGCCTCCTTTGTGTCCTGAAAACCACCATGTCATTTACATGTGCTGGGACAATGGCCAGTGATTTTGTTGACTGTTGGGCTGTTAATTAAACCTCCTCTAATATAATCACTTAACAATCTGGCTTATTCAGGCAAATGAACCTACATTATTTCAGTCAGAATAGTGGTCGCCTGGCTGGGTGTGGTGGCTCATCCCTGTAATCCCAGCACTTTGGGAGACCAAGGCAGGCGGATCACCTGAGGTCAGGAGTTCGAGACCAGCCTGGCCAACATGGCAAAACCCTGTCTCTACTAAAAATAAAAAATAAATTAGCTGGGCATGGTGGTATATGCCTGTAATCCCAGCTACTCAGGCGGCTGAAGCACTAGAATCGCTTGAACCCGGGAGGCAGAGGTTGCAGTGAGCCGAGATTGCCACCGCACTCCCGCCTGGGTGACAGAGCTGTCTCAAAATAAAAGGTGTGGGGGGTGGACAGGCTGTGTGATTAAGTGAGGCCCACCTTGATAACTTTATTGTAAAGTCAACTGCATATCACACACACACACACACACACACACACCCCACACACATATATAATATATATATGTATATGGTCATGAACGTTTGTCTATAGAGAAATGACATAATCATGAGAGTGACAGTGCATCACAGTCACAGGGTCCAGGGATTAGAGCATGGAATCTTGGGGGAACACTGTATTTTATTCTATTCTATTCTATTTATTTTTATTTTATTTTATTGGAGACATGGTCTCACTTTGTTGCCCAGGCTGGAGTGCGGTGTTGCCATCATGGCTCACTGTAGCCTCAACCTCCCCAACTCAAGCCATCGTTCTGCCTTAGCCCCCCATCCCCCACTCCCATCCATCTCACTACATTGTCCAGACTGACCTCAAACTCCTGGGCTCAAGCAATCCTCCCCACTTGGCCTCCTGAAGTGCTGCTGGGATTACAGGTATGAGTTACCATGCTGGCCAGGAGGCCACTTTTCAAATTCTGCTGACAACACTTCACACAAAGCCACCACCCTGTCCCCTCTGAGAACACTTTCCTTTGGAATGCCACACGTCAGAGAGCAATTCAGACAGAGCAGGCTGGACTCCAAACCTGAGTATCCTCTTCCAGGGAAATCCAGCAAAGGCTAAGGGAGCCCTATCATCTCCTGGAAGAAGAGGCAGGATTATTATTATATATATTTTTTGAGATGGAGTTTCACTCTTATTGCCCAGGGAGTGCAACGGCACGATCTCGGCTGACTGCAACCACCACCTCCTGGGTTCAAACGATTCTCCTGCCTCAGCCTCCTGAGTAGCTAGGATTACAGACATGCACCAACATGCCTGGCTAATTTTGTAGTTTCAGTTGAGATGGGGTTTCATCATGTTGGTCAGGCTGGTCTCAAATTCCCAACCTCAAGTGATCCTCCTGCCTTGGCCTCCCAAAGTGCTGGGATTACAGACGTGAGCTACTGCACCTGGCCAAGGTAGGATTTTTTTGCTGGTAGTAAGCAAGAAGGACTGGGTAGGGGGAATAGAAGAAGATAAACCAGAAAGTCAGGAGTTTAGTCAAAGAGTTATCTTGGGCCACTCTTAGGAGGGCCTTGAATCCCAGGGGAAGGCACTTTGAATGTCATTCAGAAGCACAGAGGTCTCCAAAATGGGGGACATGCACCTTGGGGGATGACAAGATCATCCATTAGGAGAGTGGGAAGAAAATATTAAAATATATACAAATACATTTTTAATCCCTTTCCTTTAGATTTCTATTTGGGGATGTTTTTGTGTCTTTTTTGGGGTTGTTTTTTTTTTTTTTTTTGACATAGAGTCTCGCTTTGTCACCAGGCTGGAGTGAAGTGGCATGATCTCAGCTCACTGCAACCTCCAACTCCCAGGTTCAAGCAATTCTTCTGCCTCAGCCTCCTGAGTAGCTGGGATTACAGGCACATGCTACCACACTCAGCTAATTTTTGTATTTTTAGGACAAACAGGGTTTCACCATGTTGGCCAGGATAGTCTTGGTTTCCTAACCTCATGATCCACTGCCTTGGCCTCTCAAAGTGCTGGGATTACAGATGTGAGCCACCATGCCCAGCGGGGATATGTTTTATAATGTATATAATAGATTCATACAGTTGTATATACACGGTATTAGTTATCTATTGCTGCAAAATAAATACCTCAAAACTTAGCAGTTTAAAACAATGAATATTGATCATCTCACTCCATTTCTGAGGGTCAGGAATCTGGGTGCAGCTTAGCCAACTGGTTCTGACTCACAGCCTCTCATGAGGGTGCAGTCAAAATGGCAGTCAGTGCTATGTTCATTTGAAGACTTGCACAAGGCTGGAAGATCAACTGCCAAGGCAATTCACTCATGTGACCAGCAAGTTAGTGCTGGCTGTTGGCAGGAGGCCTCAGTTCCTCATTACATGGGTCTCTCCACAGGACTGCTTGAGCTTCTTCACAGCATGGCAACTGGCTCTCCCCCAGAGCAAGTGATCCAAGAGCACAATTTCATATATGGCCTGACCTCAGAAGTAACAGTCCATCATTTCCACACTATCCTGTTGGTCACACAGGATTAAAAAGAGTTGCCCTACTCATCATGGGAGGGCAGAGGCCACATGGGTGTGAGTATCAGGAGATAAAACTCACTGGGGGCCATCCTGAAGACTGGCTACCAAAACCCACATAGGAGTCATAGGTGAGTGAATAGATACTGGGGGAACACACACTCAAAAACATTTCACTAACAGGGACACATAATCAACAAAGTTTAAAGACTATAGACTGTGAAGGCCCACAAAGAGTTGCAGTTGGCCAGGCACGGTGTCTCACACCTGTAATCCCAGCACTCTGGGAGGCTGAGGCGGGTGTATCATGAGGTCAGAAGTTCCAGACCAGCCTGGCCAATATGATGAAACCCCGACTCTACTAAAAAAATATGAAAATGAGCTGGGCGTGGTGGCATGTGCCTATAGTCCCAGCTACTCAGGAGGCCGAGACAGGAGAATTGCTTGAACCCAAGAGGCGGTTCAAGCCGATTGTGTCACTGCACTCTAGTCTGGGTGACTGAGTGAGACTCCTTCTCAAAAAAAAAAGTTGCAGTCAGGGCAGTGGTGAGGTCATATTTGTGAGTTTAACAACAACCTGGCCTTGGAGTGGGTGACGGGTCAGAGGTGGTTGACCCAGAGGCAGGGAGATCAGTCAGGAAGCTGCTGAGTTGGTCTTAGTGAGAAACTGTGAGGCTGGAAGCCAGACAAGGAGGGTTATATGAGCAGATTTTTAGCAAAGGAATGAAGTGGACCTGGTAGCTACTGAATGTGAAGTCAGGAGGGGTCCAGGAGGCAGGGGGCAGTGGGACACCTGCCTGGGGTCCAGACACTACTGTAGGTGGATTAGGAATCTGAAGAGACTTATAAGCAGGAGCCTCTGAAAGCAGAGTCATGGGCATGGTCCAGCTGTGGCAAAGTGCCCCGTGTCGACCCTGCCCTGTGAGAGGGCATGGTGGAAAGGAGGACAGTTCCTGCCAGTGGGAGAAGCAGGAGAAAGTGCCCAGGACTGCCAGTCATCCAAGCTTCAGGATCAGCTCTGGGAACCATGAGTACCAAGTTAAATGCCAGGGAGACAGAATGGAATGAACCTCCAATGGGGGTAAGTCAGGAAGAGAGGAGTATTTTCAGGTTGAGGGAGGCCTGAGCAGCTGGCAAGCAGAGAAGGGGCTGGAAGCAAGAGGGCTGGTGGCTGCTGAGCAGGAAACTTGCTGAAGGCCGGAGGCTCCAGGAAGGATGCTAATCCAGCGGAAGCAGCCTGAGGCCCTCCATCAGTTAGACCTGCCCCACCTCACCCTCATCTGGAAAGTGGGTTCATGCCCAGCTCAGAGTGCTCATCAAGGTTAAATGGGATAATGAATGAAAAGCACCTAGCACAGTGCCGACACACACCAGGTGCTCAGCACGTGCTGGCAGATCTTATTTTCATTATTCTCACTAGCAACACAGCCAAGACTTGTTATGTTAGATCTCCAAGGCCTCTTCCAGTGTAGGAGGAGGAGAAAAGGGGGAAAACTGGGGTCAGGATGGCGGAGGATATCTCTCCCCACACCCTGGAGGGTGGTTAGCAACTTCACTGGGAGAGAGCTGGGGGCCCAGGGGGTTGTCTGAGTTGAGACAGTCCCTTCCCCAGCTGTGGAGGAGGGATCTGAGCTCCCTTAGTCCTTACCAGCCCTCTCAAAGGACTTTCCAGCCTCATATTTCGGATGGGCCTGTCCACCCAAGGGCTGGGGCTAGACCTCCTGCCTCTGGGCACCCCAGGCCAGCAGGGAGTCTGACACCCACAGATCTGAAGAAGAGATGCCTGAACAAATAGGCAAGAGGGGCAAAGCAGAGGCTCTTCATGAACTTTCCAAAGAGGGCAACGGCCCCATGTCTAGAAGAGGCTGAGCAGGAATTGGGTTGAGATGAAGCAGGGGAGGTTGAGGAAAAGGAACGTTATCCTCTAGCATCTCAGGCTGGAGGGCTGTGCACCAGGGCAAGGGAAGAGGATCACCAGGGCTGAAAGGAGCAGATGGCCCTCTGTACACTAGTTTAAATCTAAACTGACACAACCTACCCCAAGGGCTTCAATATCCCATCTCTGCAATTGACAAGAAGCTGGCCTGCAGGAGTGGGAGTCCAAGCTCCCAGTCTCCAGTAGGGTCTTTCTCCCCCCAGCTCTCTCCTCCCCAATGCCACTCTGCCCACCCCAGGCACACCCATCTTTTCAGCCTTGGGACAGCCAGGATTCTGTGACCCAGGACCCTCTCTACGCCTCTTTCCTGCTTTTTGAGGATAAAACTTGTTAAAACTCCAAATGATTCCAGGCTTTAACTTTTGGGTTTGTCCATATCTGAAAACAGACCAACAGGCCAATGACAAAAATTGCTACCATTTTCTACCATCCATCAGGCACTGTGCTAAGGGCTTTACATGTACATCCCCTTTACTCCTCACAGGTATCCAGAAAGGTAGGTAGTTATTCCAATTTTACAGCTAGGTATACTGAGGCTTACAGAGGTGAAGCCCTCCCCAAAGTGACAGTGAATCCACCATCATCCCTCATGCTAACGCCAGTGACAGCCTAGCTGGCTTTCCACTGCCCCCTGCTGTATATTCTCCTCCACACCCAGAGTAACCTGCTCTGGGACAAACCCTAACGCTCCTTCCACAGTCTTCCAGCAGCCTCTAGGCCACTCTGAATAATCTACAGAAAGTCCTGTGTGCCAGGCCTCTCTACTTCTCTGACACATCTCCTATTTCTCTCTGTCCCCCACCCTACTCTACCCCAGTGGCTTCCTTTTGTCCTCCAATCTTTCAAATTTATTCCTTCCGGCCGGACACGGAAGGAATCCAAGTGCTGTAATCCCAGCACTTTGGGAGGCCAGCGGGCGGATCACCTGAGGTCAGGAGTTTGACACTAGCCTGGCCAACATGGTGAAATCCCATCTCTACTAAAAATACAAAAATTAGGCCGGGGTAGTGGCTCACACCTGTAATCCCAACACTTCAGGAGGCCAAGGTGGGCGCATCACGAGGTCAGGAGATCGAGACCACCCTGGCTAACACAGTGAAACCCCATCTCTACTAAAAATACAAAAAATTAGCTGAGCGTGGTGGCACATGCTTGTAATTTCAACTAATCGGGAGGCTGAGGCAGCAGAGTCACTTGAATCCAGGAGGTGGTGGTTGCAGTGCGCCGAGATTGCACCACTGCACCCCAGCCTAGGTGACAGAGTGAGACTCCATCTCAAAAAGAAAAAAAAGAAAAATTAGCTGGGTGTAGTGGCATTCACCTGTAATCCCAGCTACCCAGGAGGCTGAGGCAGGAGAATCACTGGAACCCAATAGGCAGAGGCTACAGTGAGCCAAGATCACACCATTGCACTCCAGCCTGGGTGACAGAACAAGACTTTGTCTTAAAAAAAAAAAAAAATTATTCCTTTCAGACTGTTCTTCTCTCTACTTGGCACACTCTCACCACCTGTCTTTTTCATCATTCAGGCCTCAACCCAAATGATGCTGCAAGGGGCCTCCTTGGCTGCCCAGCCTAAACCAACAAGGGCTTTCGATTTCTTGGCTTAATAACATCCATCATTGTCCTAAATGTTACATGTTCACTTACTTACTCCCTATAGTTTGTCATCCCCACTGGATGGACCCAAAGTTCCCTAAGGACAGGGACGTTGCCTTCCCAACATCTAGAACACTGACTACTGCCTCATTCCAAGGAACACCCAAGTATTTGCTGAAAGAAATAAAAAGGGTGGGGAGAAGAGGAGCCAGGATTTGAACCTACATCTGTTCGGGAGCCCAGGGCTCTAGTCCACTAAATGACACTGCCTCCTCAAGCAGACAGGGAAGAGTTCTCCATGGACTCGGAAGAATATAGTGCCAGCTGCAACCGTGCTTCCCCTGAGGAATCATATATGGAGTGAAACAGGGAGGGAACTTTTTTAAATAATATGTACTTCTATATTTATTTAAATTTTGTCAGGTGGGTGTATTAATTATGATTTACAAAATAATGTATGCAGGCCAGGTGCTGTCGCTCATGCCTGTAATCCCAGCACTTTGGGAGACTGAGGTGGGTGGATCACCTGAGGTCAGGAGTTCGAGATCAGTCTGACCAATACAGTGAAACCCCATCTCTACTAAATAGAAAAAGTTAGCTGGGAGTGGTGGCATGCACCTGTAATCCCAGCTACTTGAGAGGCTGACGCAGGGGGTGGAGGTCGCAGTGAGCCAAGATTGTGCTATTGCACTCCAGCCTGGGCAACAAGAGCAAAATTCTGTCTAAAATAATAATAATATAATGCATGCAAATTATGTGCTACCCTTCCAGTTTAACACACAGACACATTACCTGCACATACCTTCCTCAGCTCCTAAATTTCTCCCTTCAGCCCACGGTAGAGAACATTAGCACAGCCTCAAACCATCTGCTATTACAAAGAACCAAGCTAAGAGAAGGATTATTTGAAAAAAATCCTCTGAAGCAGTGCTCCTCCACCCAGCAAGACATCCAAATCACCTGGGAGCTTTCCAGAAATGCAGATCCCTGGTCCCCATCCCCAGGATCCTGTTGGCCTCAGTCCTGAATAGAAAATCCTGCAGGGCAACCCATGGCTACTGGTTGAAGTGACACCCCTTCAGCAATCTCTGCCACTATTCCTGGACTAGTTTAGGCTTGGGCGGCCACACCCTCCACAGAATCACAACCCCTGGCTTGGTCTATTGCATGGAACTCTCAACTTTAGTCAGGGTTGGCTATAAAAAATGCCTTTTTGCACTACTTGGGATTAAACCTCCACAACTCTTAGGGCCTTCTTCCTCAGCCTTACCTACTAGAGCCCCTGAGAACCACAGAGAGAAGGGAATGGTACCCCAGCAGGTGCCCCCCAAAGGCTCATCTGTGCCACAGCTGAGATCTTCCTGCTGGGAGCTTGCCAAACACATGAAGAAGGCAGAAGGCTGAGAGTCACCATTCCATATAGCAGGATCTGAGAAGCTTCAGTTGGGGCTGAGAGCCAGGAAAATCTGATTCCCTAAAAAAACTAAAATTCTTTTTCCCTTATACTAAAGAACTAGGTAATCAACCATTTCTCTTTTTTGCCATTGCTATCAGGAAACTCAGAGATCACGTTTACCCTCATAGCTAGTATTTGTTTCTCCTGTGTTAATCTTTGGCATTCAGGTTCTTATTTTCCTACCTTCATTATTTGTAAAGCTGCCTCAGATCTTTCCCACAGAGATAGGTCATTAAGGTCAGGTGCAGTCACTCAAGCCTATAATCCTAGCACTGTGGGAGGCCCAGGTGGGTGGATCACCAGAGGTCAGGAGTTCAAGACCAGCCTGGCCAACATGGAAAAACCCCATCTCTACTAAAAATACAAAGATTAGCCAGACATGGTAGTGGGTGCCCGTAATCCCAGCTACTCAAGAGGCTGAGGCAGGATAACTGCTTGAACTGGAGTTGCGGGGAGGGGTGTGAGCCAAGATCATACCACCGCCCTCCAGCCTGGACGAAAGAGTGAAACTCCATCTAAAAAAAATAAAATAAAATAAGAGGCCAGGCACGGTGGCTCATACCTGTAATCCCAGCACTTTGGGAGGGTGAGGCGGTGGATCATAAGATCAGGAGATTGAGACCATCCTGACCAACATGGTTAAATCCCATCTCTACTAAAAATACAAAAATTAGCCAGGCGTGGTGGCGTGCACCTGTAGTCCCAGCTGCTCGGGAGGCTGAGGCAGGAGAATCGCTTGGACCCGGGAGGCGGAGGTTGCAGTGAGCCGAGATCATGCCACTGCACTCCAGCCTAGGCAACAGGACAAGACTCCATCTCAAAAAAAAAGAGAGAGGGCATAAAGAAACCCAATGTATATTCACACAGCATTTCTTATCGGCAAACCTCTGTAAAGATCATTCCCAGAGCCTCGCTCTGTCCACAACTCCATGAACATGAATGAAGAAAGTTTCCTCTCTATTTTCCTTTAGGGACTGTTGTGCTACCCAACAGGACTGAGACAGCCCAGGGGGGATCAGAGCTGGACGAAGTTTGCAGGGTCCCTTACGAGTTCCAGCCTCCTCTTTCTGACCTGTCATGACTTTGGACAGAGCTCCAGCCCTTCACAGGCCATCCTCACCAACTCTAGTTCCTTGATATGCCAGTTACCTCCATGGCCCGTTTTTCAGGCCACTCTAACTGCTCTGGTTTGGAGGGAAGAAGGATCTGACTCTACCTGACCCATCCATCCCTGTGCCCATCTCCCTCCACACCCAGGTCCCAAATAACCAGGCCACACACCGAGTTTCAAGTATCTGTCTCTTCCTTTCACTCTCTCAAAAGAAAAAATAAATAAATTGCAGAAGGCGGCAGCATTTCCAGTCTTCTCTGGCTCCCGGACACCCGACCCCTGACCCCTGCCCCCCACCCCCCCTCCCACATTTCCCACTCCCTAGACCCATCCCTCCCTTTTCCCCAAAACAAAAATCCCAGGAAAAAAAAAAAGCCACATTTAAACCTTCCACTCATGCAAACCGGCAAAGAAAAAAGGTGGGGGACGTGTGGAAGGCAGGGGGCCCGCCTCAGAGTCCCCTGCTTCTCCCCCCAAAAACCACCTTTAAGAAGAAAAAAAGTGGAAAAAATAAATGAGAAATCAAGGGACATGGGAATTACGATGAGGGCAGGGGTGACCTCAGACCCTGCCTCGGGAGAGAGCGGAGGCCTGTGGCCCTGCATCCCTGCTGCGGGTGCTCCTCGAGAGGGCCCTGACTTCTGGAATGTGTGTGGGAGAAGATGGGGGAGGGCAGGTGGCCCCCGGTGGGTCTGTGTGTGCATTGGGGGCGGGTGGGGGGTGGGAGTCCTAAGGAGCAAAGGCTCGGAACCAGGAGCCCAGCTCCCCCCCAGACCCCAGGTTCCTGGTGTTTAAGAGCCCAGTTCTGGGGTGCAGGGATACATGCAGAGGAGTGTCCCCCCTCCAATAGGCTGGATCCAGTTAGAAAGGAAATAAATAAGAAGGGGTGGGAGGGAGGCCGGGGGGAGCCAAGGGCTTGGGCGATTCAGTCCAGACCAAGGGCCCAGGAGATGGAGGCAGGGCGAGTCCAGGCCAAGCCAGGGCAGGAATCAGAGTCTCTCTCGGGCTGGAACCCAGATGTAGGGGCCTGAGAGGTCCTCGATGACACGCTTCACCTTGTGGTAGATCTCCTCAAAGCTGTCACCCTCCACGATGGCTGGGAGTAGGGTGGAGCAGGGAGTGAGGCCAAGGGTCAGAAGATGCCTGGCCAAGGAAGTAGCAGCCCAGAGGAAGGGGCACCTCTTTCTAATTCTCCAAGCCATGAGTCATAGGGCTGCACCCGCCAACTGGGGCACCTCTTTTTTTTTTTTTTTTGAGATGGTGTTTCACTCTTGTCGCCCAGGCTAAAGTGCAGTGGCGCAATCTCAGCTTACTGCAACCTCCACCTCCCAGGTTCAAGTTATCCTGCCTTGGCCTCCTGAATAGCTGGGATTATAGGCACCCACAACCACACCCAGCTACTTTTTGTATTTGTTGGCCAGGCTGGTCTTGAACTCCTAACCTTACGTTATACACCCACCTTGGCCTCCCGAAGTGCTGGGATTACAGGCGTGAGCCACCGCATCTGCCCACAGGGGCGCACCTCTTTTTTTCTAAACCATCCACTGGGATTGAGGGGGGAGTGCTTTCTAATCCGAGCAAAGGTGCCCTACGTAGCCTCACCTGAGAAGCACTCTGTGAACTCCTGCTCCAGCTTGGTGGCTCTGTCGAAGGCTTTACGGGCTTGCTCCTCTGTGATCCGCTTATTAATCTCTCTGTGAAGCGGGAGGGAGCGCAGGCCTGAGACTGGGCCCACCTGACCCTGACTTTCACCTCCTCTATCCAGGAATGTTAAGTTGCAACTAGTATTCTCCTATTTGGAGCACACAGCAAAAAAAAAAAAAAAAAAAAAAAAATACAATTCCCAATATCCTCTGGGACCACAGATGAGCCCCCACCCACAACCACCCCAGCCAGGTGTGGCTACTCCAGGGCCATCTCCCAAGCTTCATCCTTCCAGCCTTCAGCCCCAGAGATGGGATTCCGACTCCAACTCCCAACAGCCCTGAAGGCCCTGGCTTGCCCCAGCTGGTGTGCCCCAGGGGCTGCTGGGAGATGTAGTCCTGTCTAGCCCCAGGCAGGAAAGGAAGGGAAAGGCACGATTGCCCGAATCCTCTGGGTTCCAGGTCTCCTGGATTCCAGGTGCTCATGGATCCCTGGGTTCCAGGGATCCCCACCTCAGGGGCTGCTGGGACCGCTGTCCAGGGTTCTGAAGGGAGAGTTTCACCGCAGAGGCCTTGTGAGGCCCAGGGCCACAAATGTGGGGGAGCAGAGGGGAGGCCCCCAGGACCATACTCACAGCACATTCTCCAGGGAGCGGGGGCGGATGAAGATGGCGATGGGGTGCAGGTGGGCCGCCTGCAGCCGCCGCACGGCATTGGCCGAGACATCGAGGATGCAGTGCTTCCCCTGGGGGCAGGCAGGGTGGGCGGAGGGGGGCCAGCGGGTGGCAGGAAAGGACAGACAGCAGTGTTGGAGAGACACAGGACAGGGAGAGGTGGGGAATGGGAGGTTGGCCAAGGGGGAGTGACATGGATGTCAAGAAACATGGGGGCAGAGAGTCAGGCGGGAAGGGAGTATGGACAGAGTAAAAGACAGAAAGAGAAAGGATAGGGAAGACAAAGAGCATGGGGAGAGGGCAGGGACAGGATAAGATGGAGAAGGGGAGGAGCACCAAGCAGGCAGGGACCCAAGAGAGGTTGTCAGAGCCAGGGCAGCAGCGAATGGGGCAGTGTGCACAAGGCAGAGGTGACACAGGCAGGAAGGAAAGCCAAGAAAAAAGAGAAAGGAAGTAGGATAGAGGGAGGAGGGAGGGGAGGACGGTCAAAGGACAGACAGATGGAAGGAACAAGGAGACAGATGGGAGGGAGGGAGGCAGATGGAGAGAGGAGCCGTGGAGGGAGGGAGGGCAGGGTGGGGAGCATCGGGGAAGGGAAAGGAGTTAGCAGAGGAGTGGGAGAGGGGAGTGGGGCCCCAGGAAAGGGTGAGGCAGGGGAAAGGGCCAGAGGGGAGTCAGGGAAAAGGGAGGGACCCAGTGGGGAAGGCCAAGCCACCAAAAACAAGGCCACAGGAAGAGGAGAAATGGGGCAAGGAGGAGGGAGTGGGGAGAGAAAGAGGCCAGATGGTGGTGGGGAGTTTGGGGTCAGGAAGCAAGGCAGGTGGGAGAGAGAGCAGGGGCAGAGAGCAGGCGGTCAGACAGAGTTGCCCAAGAGGAGAAGGAGGTGGAGGAGTGGAGTCGAGACCCAGCAGGGAAAGAGACAGAGAGAGAGAGAGTTAGAGAGAGCTGGAGGGAGGCAATGGGGTGGGGAGAGGGGAGGAGGAAGAGGACCAGGTGCCCGCCAGGTCCTACCTGCTCTGCCACCTCTCGCACGGACTGGACGCTGGTCCCATAGAGGTGGCTGTTGTACTGGCCGGCCTCAATGAACTTGTGTGCCTGAATGTCCTTCTCCATTTTCTCCCGGGACGACACAAAGTGGTAATCCCGGCCATCTATCTCATACTCCCGCTTGGGCCGTGTTGTATCTGCCAGGAAGTCACCCCACCCCCCAAAGATCTATCCCCCATTCCTCTAGCTTAAAACCATCCTCCATCAATCAAATCCCCATAGTGCCCAGCTGGTCATTTGGTGAAAGGGCACTGCCAGAGAGACCAAGACTGCAGAGGGGCAGGACCGCTTCCCCCAGCACCCTCCAGGGCCTCCAAGTCTCTGGTCTGGGCATGGGTACTGGGGAATGTGAGGGTGGCTGAGAAGCACTCCTTCTCAGAGAAACCCTGTGTCCCCCTGCACACCAACCCCCCAGGGGGCTCTGCCTACAGGCTGCAGGGATGGGCCTCCTCCACCCCACCCCCACTTCCACCTCCACCTCCATCCAAGGCCCCAGCACTCACGGGGAACACAGGATCCAAACTTGTCGGGGAACTCGGAGAGAAGATCATCATTGGCGCGGTCCTTGGTGGGCCCAAGGATGATGATGGGGCGAGCATAGTGCACTGCGGAGACAGAGCCTGGCTTAGGCCAAGGACTAAGTTGGAGCAGCAGCAGGAGTGGGGGCCAAGGCAGGGGCCAGGGCTCACCTTCCATCTGCGTCACTGTCTCGTAGCTCAGAACCGAGTCTTCTCGACCTGTCAGGAGGTGGCGCATCTGCAAGGGGCTCTGAAACAGGGGACCTAGGGCCCTGTCTCCCCCTTGAGGATATCAAAGGCAGCTCAGTGTGCCTCTCACCCACATCCTCCCGAACTGACCCTACCTACCCTGTGATCCAGAGCTGGAGCCCCAGTCCTAGGAAGAAAAAGCAGGCGGCCACGAGGTTAGCTATGAGCTCAGCTCCATGAGCCCTCAGGCTTCCACCCAGGCTCACCCCTCCTCCACCTACCTTGGCCTTTAACCTTGACCACTCTCGTCGCTCAACCCTGTGGGATACATGGAGGGAAAGGCAGATAGGAAAATGCCCAGTGAGGAACCCTGCTGCCCCCAGGCTCCAGGCTGGCTAATAATCCCTTCTCCCATGGCCCTGGGCCCTGTGCTCCTCAATGAGGAGCTGTCCTTCCCAAAGGCTCATGGGAGCCACAGTCCCCAGGAGGTCCCAACAGACAAACCCCTAGGAGGTCAGAGGGCAAACACATCCCCGATGGCTGTCCACCCCGAGGGACCTTGGGAATTTCAGTGCCTGTGGCAGGAAGGCTACAGAGCCCAGAGCCTCACCGCCGTTTGCTGGGGATGAAGCCAATGTCATCGGTCTCACTGTCAGAGTGGACCCGCCGTGCCTGCCACCACTCCTCATCGCTAGCATCGATGACATGCAGCACGTCTCCAAAGCGGAAGCTCAGGGCCTGGCTTAGGAAGCCGCAGTCCTTGGTCTTGTCGTAATCAAACAGGGCCCTGGGGGGCAAGTGGCTACTGGTCAGAGCCCGGCTGAGGACCCCAGGAAGGTTGCATCAGTCACCCTGAGACCCAGCCCAGAGATCTGTGGATGGCACTCCCATGGCCACAATGGGTGCTGAGTAACCCAAAACTGTGTGGGGACCAAACGCTGACTGTAATCGTAACCACCACAACTATTAACCATCATTCAGCCCACACTGAGTACAGTTTCCAGAGGGAGAGCTGGAACTCCACCCTCTCAAGAAAACAGTTTGCAGTACATGTGCGCATCATAAAGTCACAGGGGTAACCTTGAATCTGTCCAAATTAATAAGAAAAAGAAAGGTCCCGTGTCTGCAAATCATGGTTACCCTTACTAGTATCAAATCCCTATAAGTCACAACTCCTGGCATCAGAAACTAAAGAAGGAATGAAGATCCAGAGGAAAGCAATGGACCTGGAGAGGAGGGAAGAGACCCCAGGCCTCCTGAGAGTCTGACAACCAGAAGACATTCCCCCTGGGAGCCACCACACAATCTCTGTGGTTACTGGGAGTCAGAAGAACCTTGGGGACCAACTGGACCTGAGCACAGAGAAAGGGCAGAGCAAGGGCTCAGGTGTGAGCTGGCGTCTGGGTGGCC